AAATTGTTATTCTTTCCTGGAGAAGGTCGGAGATGTAGGAAGGTGCAAGCCAATTTATAGCTTTGTAAACCTCAAGTGCAAGCATACGTCGTAGTCTGTTCAAGTGCAAAGTTCCAGGACCTAACATACGTGTATTTAACAGCTCATCGTAACTGCTTTTATAATTCTACAGAAATAGGGCCATTTTTTGCTCTGTTTAATAATTACATGAAAACTTATGTGGCGAAGGGAGTCACCGGGATGTTTTGTAATGGAATATAAAAATTAATTATGCGATAAGGCTAATATATTATAGTGACACAATTAAAATTAACTAAAAAGAAATATGTAATTATTAAAGGTTGGGGTGCAAATGTGTGGTTGTCGTAGACATATCTTAGACCCCTTTCCTGTATCTTTACTATTTTTTCATATTTCCCTCACCACAAAAGTGCCACACTAACGGACAATAATTGAAGTTTGATAATGTAAAGTGCCTGAACATGGCTAGCCGACTTAAAACATCTAGATAAGCTGAAACCCTTTTCAGAGTGTTTAGTTGACATGCTGTTTTAGAACATAATTCTGAGATGTGTTGGTTAAAAGTAAGCCCCAAGGAGCTTGGCCCAAGGTTCAAGTTTTATCAATTTTCCATTGAAAGATAATTGCTTGTTACTATGGTTGTCTGCTGTTTTCCTTATAAAAATAGCTTGAGATTTTTCAGGGTTCGCTTCCATCTCATTCGAGGAAAACCAGTTTATAGCATTTTGTGCATCATATTCAAGCTCCTTTCTTTAAGATATCGAAGTCTGGGTGTGCGGCACTTAAGGTGTTATCGTCTGCGTACTTGTAGAGGTCACAATTTTCAAATTGAGAGGTTACAAATTTACCGCTTCATGCGGATCAATTACGGCGAAGTTTAACTGATAACAACAACGTGGAATATCAAATTCACTTAACCTATCGGTAAAGACGCACATGCACTGGAAATACGAGCTAAATAAAATGTTATCTACATCAAATTTGGCAACACAAATTGAGGGGCAGCTTAGGCAAACACACATATGAACTGTTGCCTTGTGCAACATATACACAGGAAAGTGAGCAGTCAACCGTGCACACAAACTCATGAATTAATTAATATCACGTTCACGCAGCACGACGTGTCATGCGTCAGCATTCCTAATTACGGTGTCTGCATGCCAACGCATGTAACTTCGTGATAGTACACGCGCACGAGCACGCACAGACACCAGCTAGGTGTATGAATCTGCGATGCAATTTATTTTTTTATCCAACTGGCCTTGTCAAGCATTTCCTTGCATTACTTAAAATGGTAAAATCAACATATATAAGTTGCCCGATTGTGACAGGCACATGTAGAGTGGAGGTCTAGAGCAATCGGGAATTTAAGTCATCTAGCACACTCACACATATCTCTGTACAAATAAAAGGATTTCAAATCATGGACATAAGACAACACATTCTTCATCCGGTAGGAAGTGACAGACTCCAAGGACAGTCAACAATTTTGTGTCATGCACTTACGAAGAAAAGAGACATAATAAAATTACCTTTATTTACAGGTTGTTTACATTTTCAGTGCACAAGTTTAGCAATAGCACTACTCCTACTAGAACTACTCACTTCGTACCTCTACAAATCTAGCAAAACCTTACCTCCGAAACTAGCTTTCGTCTCCGCCATGCTGTTTTCGCACTCTGACAGGCGTAACAGTGAGCTGACCTATAAAACGACTCTTGAACTGAAAAACCAGGATCGACCTCGTAAGACGTGATAATTTTCGGGATAAGGTAATAGAATATCATTCGCTCGCGGCAGCGCCTTGTCACAATACAAGTCTGTCAGGGTTACATAGTTAAGGACCAAAAATTGGCCAACGCTGCATTTTGTAGTACAAATGTCTATTTTGGCATGAATGCTCCTTGGGCCAAATGAAATTTTTTATCCGTAGAGACGCTCTCTATCGATGCATAAATTAGCATAATTAACATAAATGCAAACTGGGTACCAAAATATATTTCATCCATTCTATTAATTTTTTTTATTTATTATTATTTTTTGCCTAAAAATATGTATAGGTTATCAAACCTGACTAAATTAGGGACAAAGAACCCATTTTTGACATTGTGAAAACAATTGGCGGACATTTTGCGCCTCAAATCCGAAATTGCCGCCATCTGCCATTCTGAAAGTGGACATGATTTTGCGATTTTATGTTGATTTTTGAAACGTTTGACTTACATATATGTGTAATATGTCGATTCTTACTATTTTGGCGGTGCAAAAGTCAATTGTAATATTATTTTGGTGATAGAAAGTGAATTGAAGGGACAAAGAGGGTGTTTTTAAATGAATTTCACAATGTAGTGTATTTGTCTGTGAAAGCTGCAAAACCATGGATACTGATAACCCCTAATCAAATATATCTCAATGCAATTTTTTGTTATATACCATCTATATTGTACTAAATTATGAGCCAAAAAACTCATTTTTGCCATTATGGAGGCCATTGGTGGCCATTTTGTCCCTAAAATCCAAGATGGCCGCCAGATACAATTTTAAAATTAAGCATAATTCATCAGTTTGAAACTACATGTATTATATCTTTATAAGTGTGCCATACGCCGGTTTATAGTATTTTCTGGTAAAAATACATTTTTAGTATTATCTGTTCACGTAGTGTGAGTAGAAACTATTTTTAAGCCTCCAAAATCAATATATATATGTAGGCCTAAGTTGTCACATATCCTTACTGGTAGATGCTTCTTGTAGTCTGATTAGTACAAAATATGTTTCATAACATTTTAAAAGGGTTTTTACCGACCTTGAAACAAGTGTGAAAGACCAAAGCGGCTTATTAAAGGTAAAGAACACATACTTGATGCTTTGGAGACAATTGGTAGCCATTTTGCAGAAGCATGTTATACATCGTTTCTTATCATGTCTGGTATCACTTGTGAGATATAATGCAAGTAGAAAATATTATATGGCTCTTTCATCAATATAGGCTTCAGTCTTCACATTCGCAAAACAAACTCCGGTCATGCCTTTCCTTATTTTATAAGCGATAAATGGCCATTCCCGACGGAAAGACACCGTGACCAGTCAATGGCAAGCGACACCAAGCTTCCGCTTGATTTTCAGGAGTATGCTGTGCGCATGGATTTTGACTGTTATGAGTCGTCGGCAAAATCTACCCTCCCCTTGATACTACATGAGTGACAACGTCAATTATGTGCAATAATTCTCACTGGATCTCTGCACTGTAATATCAGATGAAACCATGCTACACTCTTGTCCGTCTCTTTCATCCTCAGAGTTAAGTAGAATTCATTCATGTTCGGATGCATTTTTTTTTTTTTTTGCATCCGACGGGCTAACATGTGCTAGCAGCTAAGCTAGTATAATGCGTAAGAATAAAGCTGGTGTTTAAACTATGGTTCAACAAGTATACATCGGTTGTTCCAACTTATGTAGAAATTAACAAATATATTAATGAAATACAATATTTACGCAAACTTAAACCAACTTTCTATAGTTTGCTGCGCGTATTCTCAATCCTCTAAACCGTACCTCAGGATTTTGATACGCACGGAATTGTTGCTCCAAAAATATCAGCTACAGTGTGATTTCTATGTTACAGGTATAATACTCCAGCTACCGCAAGGTTACAATGAATATTATATGGCCAAGGCAAGGATAACTGTCCGTAGTGTTGTAGGCCTGGCCTACCCATTTCACCTGCGCCTGAATAACATATTTGCAGTATATAAAAATCTGAATATTCTTGTATATTTATTTTTCATTATCTAGAAAAGTCAACATTTTCAGAAGTCGACGAATCCCCGTGACCAACTTTGAATTACACGATAAATCATTTCTCATCTCGTTTTTTCTCGAAGCCGTATGCAGCCTTCAGCACGGTGGTTTCATCAAAGTGTTTCCCGACGATCATGAGGCCAACCGGAAGTCCATCTGCAAACCCCGCGTTGATACTCAGGGCTGGATGATGGGTGACGTCAAACTGGGCCGTGTTCGTCAGCATCTCAAGGGATTTTTCGATGCTTTCTAAAAAACAGTAATAAGTATATGCGTAAAATGAAAAAAAAAAATTCGGTAATGTTGCAAATAGCACTTTGAATATCTAAAATAGGTTAAGCCACGCTAAATACTAGTAAGTATCAGTAAATAAAAAGGAGAGAATATTGCGGCGAAACATAGTTTAAAGCAGTAAAACGCTTTGAACATCTACGTGGCTACTTTTACATTTAATGGCGAATTTAGGAGAGGACAAAGTAATGTATGACGTTTCCCTCCCTTAAGTTTTAAGGTTAGTGTGTCTCTTGTTGCTCTCCCCTCATCAAAAAAGTATCGAGCGAAACGAGACAATACCTGAAAAGTTGCCATCTCTGTACACATCATGTACGTGTAGTGGCGAAAAAAAAAGTCAGTTGCAGTTGAAAGTTGCTTCGTTTCACTCTTCAATTTTTTGTTTTATCCCCCTCCTTCTGTAAGCTTGTTTAAATTGATTATCATTACCTTTAATGCTCGACCCCTTCGATGGTAGCTTCTGTGGCAGCTTTTGGATGGTCGGCATGACGAGTACGTCATAGTTGGCGAGAGCGTCGTCATAGGCCTTCCGCAGCAGTCGTGCGCAGTTCATGGCTCTAGCATAGTGGATGTGATTGTACCGTTGCTTGGTATACTCTCCGAGCAAGGAAACCATTTTAAATGTGTGAGATACATCATTGAGATGGGTTCTTATCCCCCGAGCTGTGGCCTGTTGCATGGTAGTCGGGTAAAAGCCAGGAAATCCGAAGGCAACAGCTGTAAACAACCAATTACATACGTAATTTCAGAAAAAAAATAATTATACAAAACATTCCAAATGAGATATAAAACATCTTCTGTGCACAACAATTACTTTATCTGTTAATGTCATAATGGACATTTAGCAATCCAAAATAATAAAGCACCTTCTTTGAGTGAGAACTTACCGCCCCCCTGCACCATGGTTTCATAGCACCCTTCAAATATAATTGGTGCAGCGATATTCCGACCTATGAAATAAAACGATATACCTAATGAATGCATTTGGCTCTTCTACCAAGGTGTATACTTTAGAGATACAGATGTGCCCATACACTATGGGAGGCGCTAACATGTAACTATATATAACGCTACACGGGATTTTACCCCCTTTCACAAGATCCCCACAAATTCGCTTCCTGCCGTTTAGTGGCTGAATACTATGTAAGTAAAGTGGCAGTGTCGAGCGACGCGGCTTCGTTTAGGTGACTCTCTTACGCCACAGCCATGCTATCGAGCTGTCATTCTCGTAGAGTGTACCGGTACACGTGGATTTCTAAAGTATACCGATCACAGGGGCATTTGAGCAAAACATCTCGGTTCAATTCTAATGCCATTTGAGCTATTGGGTACCAATGCCTTTCCAAATATTGGGTTCCAATACCATTTAAACTGTTGGGTTCCAGTACCATTCCAGCAATTGGGTTTATGGGATACCCAGTTAAATATCTAATGGAGTCATGAATAATTACAAATGTATCTCATTATAAATGCCATTTGTTCCTTGTAAACTGACAACAATCGACCAATGTTCCTCCGTCATTATCACATGTCTTACCAGTAATATGCATGGGGATGCTGACGTCTTCCACACTGGCACCGGCTGATTTAAAGTAATTCATGGCTGACCGAATGGTGGAATCAACGGCAGTATTTTGGCATTTGTCGAACCCTTCTTTGACCACGCCCACTTTCATGCCTGTAAGTTCTGCATTCAGCTAATATAAATGTACATGTATATGGTTGAATTTCGTAGTTTTGTTTTTTTTTTTTTTTTTTTTTTTTTTTTTAGGATGGGCGTAGATTCACATTTATAAACAACAGGGCATACCAAAGGAAGCCATTTTTTCTAACCATTAATCAACCTAAAAGAAAAATAAAACAGTCTGAATTATACATCCTTTAAATTAAATTCATCATCAAGTTACATTCTAACAGTAAATAGGTCAACTTGTGTGAAACAAACAAACATACCAGTTTTGAATATTCGGGCACTACGATGTTTGGCGGCTGTCTGGGGTCAAGGCCGTCATCGTATCCAGCGATCACCTTAACGGATATCATAAACTTGATATAATAAACGGACAACGGATTGTTAATATCGAACCCGGACAAATGTTTCTATCACCAACATATATAAATTATAACTGCTTATACTTCAGGTTACGCAAAATAAGAGTACAAATTGCACTGTATATAATGTCTTTCTGAAGCATGTACCCAACGGCTTTCCTACAAAGGGGTTACGAATACGGTTACTCTTAATTTCTTTTTTTTTTGTTCGTTAAGAAAACAATGACATATTGAATTAAAATAATAATTATAGTAATAATTCCCGTTACGTACAAAGTCATATCAAATATAATTCACAACCCGTAGAGTTACAGTAGCCATCTCTAACATCCGGGTCTTATATTTATCTATTAACCGTCCACATTTGCACGCACAGATTGCCAAAAAATAAATAACTCGAAATGTTTGTTTTCCAACGGCCATCTTAATAACAATTAAAAAATTGCAGTCCAGGTGTAACTTTAAATTTACCTCTAACATTAGGGCGCAGTCTTCCACAGTTCGGGTCATGGGGCCTGTATGGTCAATACAGGGGTGTATAACTGAAATGCCGGTGTACGGAACCAAACCCCAAGTGGGTTTTAACCCCACAATACCACACCACGAGGCGGGCAATCGAATAGATCCACCTTGGTCGCCACCAAGAGCCATGTCAATTTGGCCTCCTGCAACCTTCACAAAGTAGAGAGAAGAGAGAGCAAAACGATACTTATGGGGAAAACACAAAAATATGTACATACACATGACAAATAATTGACAAAATATTTATTGTTCTAAAATATAAAGAGAAATTGTTCTAGAACAGATTAATTATCAGAACCATTACCAAGGCACCACTACCGGCGCTGGAACCCGCCGTTGATAGCGTGGCGTCGTAAGGATTCAACACTGGCATTTTGCTGCTGGTAAAACTGCTGCCACTGATACACAGATCTTCAACTGCGGTCTTTCCGAGAATTCGTCCACCTTAACAATAAAAATGAGTGAATAAGTTATTTCTGATTGCATTATTATTATCTTTTTGCTTTGTCTTTCAAGCTTCTCTAGCTATATGGCACGGTTAATAAGCTAAGCAAAATAGGGCAGCGTTAAATCTTTGTCTGCAAGTCTTTGTCTCTATCTTCCTCTCTATCCTCAACTGCGGTCTTTCCGAGAATTATTTCACCTTAACAATAAGAATGAGGAAATAAGTTATTTCTGTTTGTGCTATTATTATCATTTTGCTTTGATATTACACTTTCTCGAACTAAATATGACACAGTTTAGCTAAGCAAAAGCTTTGTCTGCAAGTCTTTGTCGACTTTCCAGTCAAAATATTTTTCCAAATCAAGAGGGTTGGAATTGTAGCAGACATTATAACCTCACCTGCGTCCAGTATCCTAGTGACCACAGTGGCATCAAACTCTGGCATGTAGCCCTCCAACACCCTGGACCCGTTCATCATAGGTACCCCAGCCACCGCCGTGTTGTCTTTGATACCCAGGGTTTTCCCAGCCAACTTCCCAGAGGGGGCACCTTGAATATCCGTACGCCAGTACCTGTGCAATTAATAATTTAAAAATAAACAAATGGCTCAATAATAATAATAATAATAATAATAATAATAAAGTAGGTGCTGCGAGCAATTGTATGTTTTCGTGAAAATCACAAAAAAAATGCACAATGGCCTACTTTTAACTTGGTTGAAAAAAGGACAATTTCCAATATGCCCTCATTACCTCAGCTTCATATTGAACAGTGTGTTAATAATAGACCTAAACTACAATGCTGTTTTTGTAGAAACTACATATTCAAAGCAACATACTATTGTCGCTGTGTGAATAAACGGAGAAAAAAAGCATCATTTAAATTTCGTCAAACAACATCCAATGGAGGTTGTTGTATCCAGCAAGTATTGCATCACTACAGTTCGGTAAAATCAAATTAAAAAACACAGAGAGTCGGGCTTATAAAACTTTACTCTTACATAACTAGTTCCTAGAGGTTCATGAGTACTTAAAATTAAACCAATATATATATATATATATATATATATATATATATATATATATATCTTAATATTAATTCCAGATGGCTAATTCCACATGACTAATGGTCACTACTATGAGAAAAGGATGGCCAGCCCCTCTTCCTGTGTTTTTTAAATACCCCTTAATACTAAGAAGGTAAATAAAAGCCACATTGATCGATCCTTCAAAACGTGAAATAACAACAATATTTACCAGCCATTAAAAGGGTTATCCTCGGGCTTAGGACGCCAGCCTGGAGTTCGAGGGTACTTAACAGGCAGCGTTGGTTCTGCCAGTTCGTCTAGAATACCATACTCCTCCTCCAGGTCGAGCATGCGCTCTTAACGATAAAAAATATAACATTTGTAATAGCAGAAGATTTAAAACCGCCACGCATGTGCATGCACATTAACAATACTGCAACCTCTATCGTTAGATCCGGGTGTTACCTGAGAGACTGAAAATGAAAGTGAATAAGCTATGTATTTTGAAAGTTGTATAATTTCAATGCTCCCCCCCTTGAACAAAGTGGGTAAGCATTATTACCTTTGTACCTTTCCATAATCTTTCATTTTTAAAACTCCTGACATTAATAACGTAAAGCAATACATGATAATAATTAAGAAAAATGTAGACAAGACANTTCTATTTGCAGTTGCACTTGTCCTATACTATTTTAAAATTATAAACTTAGTGGTGTCCTCAAAGGACCCATCACTATTATTTTATATTTTGAGTTGAAACTCAAAACGATCTTTATTACCTCCAATGAGGTCTTCTTTTGGCAGGTTCGCCTGGAAGGCCTTTGCAAATTTATTCAGGCAATCAATGTAGTCATCCTCAGAAACGGTTCCATTTTGAAGCACAATTCCAGATATAATCACCTTTGACTGAAAAAGTTCAAAAGTCGGTTACAAAGAAATAACAGCATCTACGTGCAATCAAGTAAGCCATTTTAATTTGATATCAATGTTCTTTTTTGCTTAAACACAGAAGGATATGACAAAAAGACATAGCTCAAAATAAATTGCTTACCATGTGCCCAGAGGTCTCGAGGTGAACAAGCGGCCATCCTGGTACCCCCGTAATTACCATTTCATCAGAGTCGCAGGTCACCATCAGCAAGTGATTGATAGCCTTGGCATGCTCTTCAATGCGCATGCTCATAATTGAACCATACGACATACTGCACTCGTCAGATATAGAAGTGTTCCTGGCACTGCTTGCATTAAACCACAGCACCACTATATTGGAGGGCGCTAAAATAGAATTGATACCAGTGAGTTATACTCTTTAGTAGCAGGAGATGACCAATGTCTTTGCATGACAAACCATTCGATTAATTTAATATGTGTCCTTGGTTTTTAATCAAGTTCGTATTGAACAATCCAGGAAAATAACACTCACCGGGCATACATAAGCCTGTCATTTCGGATACAGCTTCCCCATAACCACAAGCCAACTTGCCAGATTCATATGTTGCATTTACTAAGTTCATTGCAGGGCAATCTTTGGTTGCCTCCAGCTCCCACGCAGCTCTAGACATATTGGACATTGCTTCCCTTCTAAAATACTCTAACATGTTTTGGCCACAGCGTTCAACATGGTGTGCCAGAAGTGTCGTGTTATCATCCTCGGCATACAACTTCATTTTCATCTTCAATACCAAGTTGACCTAAAAAGGTTAGGACATTATGTTTAAAACAGTCCATAGGTTAGACCTTCAAAATTAACAAACTAAAGTCAGCGTTGGTAATATACCTTTTTTTCTGAACACAGAGATCGGAAATAGTTTGAGCCCCTGACATTAAAATGCTTGACAGTGGGTTTATTTAATTTCAGCACTCGCCTTACACATAATGTCAATAACTTACGTAATTGCCTTCAGCCATTGCATACACTCCAGTGACCATGCTGTGAGTAGACAGTTCTCCCTCACACACGTACTGTGACAACTGTGTCAGGTTTTGGCTCATGTCATTGGCGGCAAACCACATTTTTACACCTTCCTCCAATGATCCAAGGCAGCTTTGAGATACATTTGTTCCAGCATCAAGCTTGATGTGCTGGGTTACCAAAATGCCTGAAATATAATTTGATGATCAGGAAAATTGCCCACTTTTCCATATTTGACCATTGTCAAAGGTAATGCTTTTGTTACAAATTGTTCAAATGTATAGACGACATTTAGAATGTTGAAAGAAACTGATTTATCTGCTTGTTGAGATACTGATAAACAACACTGTTTCACTTTCATGATATTGGTTGTTGATTTCATCATCATCATCATCATTATAATAATAATAATAATAATAATAATAATAATAATAATAATGAACTTTTGTCTGTATTATAGAACTGTTTTAATAGCTCTTTGTTCCTATTAGCATATGGTTTTTGAGCTGTATGCATACCTGGCGTTTTTTTGTCTTGTCCATCTATTTGACCTATATTAATTGATGAAAAAAAGTGAAAAATAGAATTATCAAATGAACAAAAACATATAACCTCATTTTCGCATAGGTCCATGTCACCAATGAGGCCTTAAGAAAGTTGTAAGAAGGCTGAGAATTTCTGCAACAACGGTTGGGCTTCTCAAAATACATTAAGTACCATCAACAATACAGAATACACCATGCTTGAAATTTGCTATTTGATTACAGCATACTTGCGTACTTAGGGTAGTAATTCATCATTAAAAATCCATCTGAACGTTACTGAACCAAAATCAAAGAGCTATCTTTTGTAACAAACGGAATTGAAATGCACATATTAACTTCCCATGATGATGACTTGGTGCTGGATTATGTACATTTTTGAACTGATTTATAGTTCTACTTCATTCCTAATATTTAACATCAGTCTTTATGTCATATACAGACTTGACATTTAATATGGAATATTTCAGTTTCGAAGGTATGCCTAGGTAAAAATGCATTCTTTTTTCAAAAAAACTCCGATCTCATATAAGATATTGAATGGAGAGGTGTGTAGTCAGGTTTGTCGCTTCCAATTAACTGAATACCAGGTTTGTTGCGCTGCTGCATTATGTAATATGCAGTGATTTAATTGGGTAGTGCTCCTTTGGGCAGGTCAAAGCTTGGCTTTGGCAAAGCATGGTTCTGTCAAAAAAGTATCCATATGTCGGGAACTACTGCATAGAAGAATTTGAACTTTTGCATGCAAGTGGTCGGTTTTGCAAGGTGTAAAATGAACTAGAGGTGCTCTACAAATTTATTAATCTGTGGCAGAATGACGCGAAAAAGTCAGACATTGCAAGACAGATAATTGCGCCAAACGATACGGTCCGCACAGTTTTATAGAGTAATGCCCAGACTGATGTACCTACACAGAGGCCACCACCAATGTAGTGAAATCTTACCACCAGAGTACAGGACCCACTGTCTGTCGGGATATGCTGTTGCAACTAAACAAAAACCACCCATTCCGTTCAGAATTAGGGGTAAATTGCCACTAAAACGCATTTTTCAAGGCCCTTAGCGAACACCAAACTGGTTTTACCTGGTTAGAATACCAGACGAGCTCAGGGGAACCCACTGTAAACAACAAAACATCGTTATATGTTTCTCTAATGAATTGGGGACCCTGATCGTTTCCGAGTTGAACACTGAAACCTCGTGGCTTTCTTTATTGAGGTCAGATTTCAGCTGTACCGCTCAACCAGTCAAAACAGAGTTTACAGACATCCAGAAGAGGCCAACGACTAAGCGTGTGCCGCGTCTAAAGTGACTAAGGTCATTAACAGCGTCAGTAATTGGAGTAGATACCACATTGGTGCCAAAACACCAATGATGGTCATCCACGAAAACCTGAACCAGATCAAATAAAGGAATAATCTGGGAACCACTTGACTATCATTTGATAGGGGGCACCTTAGGAACAATTTTAGGTTGCACGGTGAAATTGCCGGTACAAACATAGCACTTTTAATAGCAGATTACTTACAGAACCAAGGGAATGAGCAGCTACCTTGGTAATCAAAATCGCCATATTGGAACCACACAGACAATATGTGGATAGGCCATTACTCGCCGAATCAATGGCCTACATGTCCTACAACAAAACTGGACCAAATTGGACAGAGTTTGACCGATGCCTGAAATGTTATTCCAGATTGAACTCTAAAAACTTAACCCAAGGAATGCCTTACCACTTGAGAGTGCTGGTAGCAGACAGAAGAGGTCAAGCGTAACAGCGACTGTTACTGTGCCTAGACACTGACATGGGGGTTCTTTGTGAGGNGCAAGGGAATGAGCAGCTACCTTGGTAATCAAAATCGCCACATTTGAACCACATAGACAATATGTTGGTAGGCCATTACTCGCCGAATCAATGGCCTACATGTCCTACAACAAAACTGGACCAAATTGGACAGATTTTGACCGATGCCTGGAATGTTATTCCAGATTTAACTCTAAAAACCTAACCCAAGGAATGCCTTGCCCCTTGAGAGCGCTGGTAGCAGACAGAAGAGGTCAAGCGTAACAGCGACCGTTACTGTGACTAGACACTGACATGGGTGTTCTTTGTGAGGCGTGTAACTCTTTTACAGAAAATAATTTGGAAAATATGGAGATCCAAAATATCTCTTTTAATTGTTGTCGTATGACATAGAATAGGCAATGTGTTTTTGTTTGCTTCTCTGGCGAATTCCATTAATTAACCGAAGACACAATGACATCAAAAGGATAATTAAAAGTTATTAAAACCCAAATTTAAGCCTTATTTTCATTTATCAGTCAGCAAAATATGAAAAACTGATGAAAAATGATTTGGAAAAAAATATTCCATATTAAATGTCAAGTCTGTATATAATACCAGTGTAATATTACATAAGCTATATTGTCTGTGTGACATTGAATGATGATAAAACTGCTTCTGGCAACGAGAGAAAAGACATCGCGGAGTAAGTGAATTCAGGCACGTTGTCAACATGCAGAACGTAACGTTGTTTTTACTTGGGGATGTTAGGTTAAAGGGGGAGGGGTAAAATAATTTGTACCTTGTATATAGTCTAAAATAGTAGACGTAAAAAATTACTGTAATATTAAAGGCATTGGGACGGAATTGGAATTAGAATTAATATTGCTTGGTGGTGCCAAGCATATTATTAAAAATAATTAATTAATTAATTAATTTATTTATTTATTTTGAGGGGAGATAATGAGGTACCTTTGAAAAAAATGGGGAACGTTGCCAGCTGGGACCCCGAGAGTCCGCTGTTGGTTTTGAGTGACACAAGATTTATTTACCGTTACGTCCGGATGCGCGCCAACCTTGTACCATGAAAGTTGAAAATAACCCACTAGCGGGTTGGTGTTACAAGAACTTACAACTGAGCGATGACCTAGATCTATTCAGATCAGTAGAAAAATAGTTCACCCAAGAAGTCTTTACAACTTCTTGGTTCACCAGACACGTTTGTCCTCATGTTAACCTCCACTGCTGGCTGGATTTTCGAGTCTCAGATCGCGAAAGATGTCTTGTGTTCTTTTGTCTGTGGATTTCTTTCTTGGGGGACAATACTGCGCGCTAACTTCAGCCGTCGAAACCCTATTGTAAATACAGCCTAAAGCTATCCAACCAGTCAGGAAAAAAATACGTTCGTTTTTTTAATGGGGGTTGTCACACACTGTCGGTACGGGGCATTTCCATATATTTTGTTAATTTTTTCAAGATAGTTTTACAAAAGCGCCACAGTCCAAAATGAAACAAAATTTTATAGTCTACTTTTACCCACGATTTACCGGTATTGTTGTCCGATAATTTTTAAATTTTTAAATTTTTAAAAGGCTTGACTAATGCATCAGACCAGCACTTACTTTATCTAAGTAGACGACTGTAGAGTGAATTATCTTGAACTTAGGCCGACCAAATTAACGGTCTAAGCTTTAAGACCAATTTTGAGCTAAACTACAGTAGCCTTTCATGAAACTACCCCATTGGTATAAGTGGCGGATTGGGGGGGGGGGGTCAGGGGGGTCCTGCCCCCACCCCTTCGATTTCTGAAAAAAATCACACCGATGGTCCCCTCTTGAAATTAGAAGTTTCACTAGCTGAATCATAGTTCTAAACAGTAGGGCCTACCAAATGGCACTGGTCGCCCTCCAGAATACCACAAATTTTCGGGACCCTTCAGTGCCCCGAGCCCCACGCCGAGGGGGGGGGGGTTGAGGGTCGGCTTTGCATCCTCGGACCCCCCCCCCTTCTTTCAAATAATCCTGGATCCGCCCCTGGGTATTAGTTTTTCAAGACAAAATTTCAGTGAATGTTGAAATATATTCGGATAAATACATTGAATTGTTTAATTGCAAGGATTCAAACTCAACCAATACCCATAAAAAATATTCGTCTCTTGAATAATAATTGAGTGACTCAATATAAGAATTTTGCGAAATATGTCTTTATTTGTACTTTTTAAAAGGCAAACGTTATGAAATCTGTATAATTTATTGTCAGAAATTATTTTTCTGTTTGTTGTTTAAGGGCTGGTTATGGAAGCAGCATGTAATTCCTCCAGTAATTTTCATGGATGTAAAGCTTGGGCAAACAATGCGCTTAACTGGTAGAGGACACTAACAGGTCATACAGTACGTACGTACGTAAAGTCTTTTCTAGGATTAAGAGTGACAGCACCAAACGACTAGTCCTTAGTCGATCTTGGTTTATGTAGTGCAGAAGCCCGCGTAAAAGCCGCGAGAGAGGTACATGACCCATTTTCATATACTTGAATTGCCTGTAAGCAGATCAGACCAGATCCCCAATACCCTCGATTTAATATGCAAATGTATGAGCATTTCAAACTGTCTTTTTACTGAGGGGAATATCTATAACTGTTGTAAACGTTACAATCCACAAACTTAAAAGAGCTTGAGAGAACACCGCCATCACTTCTCATCTCGCTTTTTCTCGAAGCCGTACGCAGCCTTGAGCACTGTGACCTCATCGAAATGCTTCCCGACAATCATTAGGCCAACCGGAAGCCCATTTGCAAAGCCAGCGTTAATGCTAAGGGCTGGGTGGTGTGTGATATTGAACTGTGGTTTGCCAATAAGCATCTCTTGGACTTGTTTTAAAGTTTCTGAAATGATAGTTGGTACTGGTTATTGTGGTGTAAACCAAAACGCTTTCAAGCTAATTTGTACCATATACTGCCCATACACGCAGATGTAGTACTAAAAATCGATATCACGAGGAGTATGAACAACGTGTACAGTACAATATGATCAACACTGATTGTTCTTACTGAGTTTAAATTTTTATTATCAGATTTATTAAATTAAGAATTACCAACCTTTGACGCTGCATCCTTTTTCTAGCAGCTTTGTTGGCAAAAAAGGCATAGTGGGCAGGACGAGTACGTCATACTTGGCAAGAGCGTCGTCATAGGCCTTCCGCAGCAGTCGTGCGCAGTTCATGGCTTTAGCATAGTGGACGTGGTTGTAACGCCGTTTGGTGTATGCTCCGACCAAGGTCACTCCCTTGAGCGTATGAGATACATCATTGAGGTGTGTCCTCATTCCGCGAGCCGCGGCCTGTTCCATGGCAGTTGGGTAAATTCCAGGAAACCCAAAAATAGCTATAAGAAAAGAACATTTGATTTAGATTGGGATCACATAACGTGCACACAGTGGACACTGCATTGTACGACATGTACATGAAACTAAATATAACCAGATCTTTCTGACTTGCTGTGGTGATAACCTTTTTTTCCAAAAAGAAAATGATAATAAATAAATAAAATAAAGGCGTAAATGCAATTATAAATGGCGAATACAGTATACTTAAAAATAATTACATGGGCACAGTTGTTCGCTCTGCTGTTATGTCAATCTTGGAAGAATAAAAAGATAAACGGTGGCCTAATTAAGGCATAGTGCTGTCAGTTTTTATACCATTTTGTATATATTTAGATCAAGATCACTATAATTTAGTCTTTTTACCCGCATTTGTTTTTGTTACTCACATGTTAGATTCACAATGGTTTCATAAGTGCCTTCATGTAAGATAGGTACCACAAAGCGTTCACCTACGAAGGTTAATATAATATAATATAATATAATATAATATAATATAATATAAAAACGAAGCCTTTTATTGAATTGCATAGTGCATAAGTTGAGGAATTTCGTCTTTGTCAATGGAGAAATACATTGGTTTATGATGATTACCGATAAAATATGATAACTCAGATCTAATGGTACAGCTACATTCAATGCAATGTGACATATCTGCACAATTGTAACATGCCAGTCTGAAAAGCAGCTCGGTTAACGTACCGGTGATATGCATACCGATGCTAGTCTCCTCCACTGTGGCACCGGCTTCCTCAAAATTTTGCATGGCACAACGAATGGTGGACTCGACAACGCTGTCACACTTGGCGAATCCTTCTTTTATCATGCCCACTTTCATGCCCTTGAGATCTGCGCTCAACTTAGGAAAAATAGTACAGGTTTTTAAATAATAACTCTTCTCTCCTACTTAACTCTGATCTTTAGACTCTCGTGGGCAATCTGTTTCACCAAAGAACTTTGACCCGAAAATATATCTCAACTTTTAGACGTAAGTTTTTAGCCTACTTTGACCTCGGATAATAAGCAGTAGTCCAATTGAATAAACACTGCACCGGTTTTATAACAAGAAAGACAAGACAATGCTTATGTTTCGGGCCAATTCTTACAATTTGAAGAGATAACAACTGTTCGCATGATATCCATATTTTGCGATAAATACATTGTTAACAGCTAATAGAAATATATTAAATGCTATTTTACCACCAAAACGGCGGTTAACGCAATTATTCTGGAATTTTTGCTTGCCATCACATCACGTGACCTCCATAGATGGCTACACTTTGTAATAATCTCTGAGAATATTACAAAAAACCAAACTTTTTTAAAGAAAAAAAAAACTAACTAGCTTGAATATTAGNTAGATAACGTTTTCTATATACATGTGCAAAAAAAATCTTTCAAACATGAGGGAAAAAGCGTTCTTATTCAGCTCTAAAACATATCCACTTATGATCACTCGGAAAGTAATCTGTTCATGACACGGCATTACTTTTTACACTCACTTCTGTCTGCGGTGGCGCTGCCGTGGCATTTGTATCATTACTAGGTGGTGCCACAGTAGCGTTGCTAACAGGTGCCGTGGCTTTAGCTACCTCCATAAATGCTGCCTTTGCAAATGCCAGTAAATACTCCAATATCAGACTCCCATTTCTGAAATATTGAAAAAAGACTGATACTTAAAAAAAAAACATTTTCTATAAAAATGCTTAGTACTCTCGGGGAATGGCAAGATCAGCCAACGATATTTGTAGGGCTTCAATTTTTTTTTTTTTTTTTAAATATGTCTCCAAGATTAACAGATCAATCACCCCACACATGCTTGCATTGTTGGTCATAAAAAGTACATAAGTTAGCTCATACTTTTCTTGATATATACTTTAATATATGTCCCACACATATCAAAAAGACTGACCTAACTGCCGTGACTTCACATGATTGGAAAGATCCATTTAACGAACTGCTTTGATAGATAGATTGAATCTGAAATTAGATGCCATATAATCATTGCTACATTAAATTAATTTGTTATTGGTATATGCGAAGTTCACCTTCGTAAATGACACAGCGTTATAATACTTGGAACAGATATGTGGGAAGAATACACACACACACACACACACACACACACAGAGAGAGAGAGAGAGAGAGAGAGAGAGAGAGAGAGAGAGAGAGAGATGGATTAATCAAATCTACAAATAACGATATAGAAAGAACTCTTTACAGAAAAAAAAGGAACGCGCGAATGCACAGAGGATGTTTGGCCCTCTGTATTTACCCTCACATGCACAGTTTTACATTATAGTAACCACTAAAACAAGCAAAGAACTAGCACGTGTACAGCGATGCACCATGACGGAAACACATGAGGCATACGACCAAGCCATGGACTCACCCCATTACAGAAAGACACAGTGAGATTGATATACTCGGGAGAAGAGGTGTTGGCCAACTCGGGAGTGTAATCAGAATTCACAGTGAGACTGTTGTTAAAGACGGCTGAAAAAAAGGAGTATATATATATATATATATATATATATATATATATATATATATATATATATATATATATATATAATTAAAATAAATAAATAAAAAAAAAACGAGACATGTGTGAACCCCATCTATGAGTTTCACGGACAGACCAATAGGGTAAGTCCGATCATTAGGAGAAGTTTATTTAAAATCTTAAATAAATAAATAAATAAATAAATAAATAAAGCTATGTAAGGCATAGCTTCAATTCGGTGTGAAAAGTGAAACTTTTAATCTTATAACACATTTTTATTTCTATATATTTTTATATTTTATAGTTTCATCATATTACCCACAGTACATACTGTCATAATATTGTTCACTGACATGCTAATGATATCAATGTAATCAAATTATATAAAAAAATGACCTTGTTCTGGTTCGGGCGCTACAGTCGTTGTGGGAACTTCAGTTGTCGTAGGGGCCTCCATCGTTGTCGAAGCTTCCGTGCTTGTCCCTTGAGAAGTTGTCAGCTCAGCAGAAGTCTGCGGCTCGATGGCGATTGTGGTCGACACTCCTGCGGTCGTTTCATCGCCTGCCTGTGCCGTTGTCTGGGCCACGGGGCCAGCAGTCGTGACGCCAGGAGTTGCTGCCTGGGTCATTGTCGTCTGCTCTGGTGCTGCGTTCGTCGTAGTTTGCGCAGGCGCGGACTCGGTGGTCGTACTTTGTGTTGTAGGAGCTTGAGAAGTGGTTGATTCCGGGGCTGAAGGAGCGGCGGTAGGCGCAGTAGTAGTCGTTGGTGTTGTAGTAGTCGTGGGTGTAGTAGTAGTCGTGGGTGTAGTAGTCGTGGTTGTAGTGGTGGTCGTGGGTGTTGTAGTCGGCGTAGTAGTGGGTGTTGTAGTAGTAGTAGTCGTCGTTGTCGTTGTCGTAGCTGGGGCCACTAAATAATCAAATAATACGCCATAAATGTACAGTCATTTCCCCAAATTGAATTATTTGTGGGTTTGGTTCATTTCGTTTTATTCATTTCATTATTCATAGGTTTGATCCATTTCGTTTTGAAATGTAAAATAATTGAACATCTGGTTATTTTCAGAAGTTTCTACAGCTGGACGTGGCTGAGAATTATAGTCCGTGGGCCAAATACCGAAACCCTCCCCCCCCTTAGTGATTTTCGTTCACTATGTTTTTCTGATAGCTTAGGTCCTTAGCTTTTATTTTCTGCTTGTTTGCCATTAAACTGGTGGTGGGTGTGTGTGCTACAGCCGTTGCCATGGTAACACACGGGTTAAAAATTGACATTTCTGAGCCCAACAAAATCTAAAATATTTCAAATACATAAACTAAATAGAATTCAAAATCGTTCTAGACATGTAGTCTAAGATGTGCACTATACCTAACGATGAACAAAATTTTCCAAGATGGCGGCAAATCCAAGATGGCGGCCAATTTTTGCTGTTTTTTCAGAAATTTTGATAATTTTTAATTTTTTAATTCTTATTTAANTTAGAATTAACATTAAAATTGGCATGAAAAAAACTCACATCATAAAATGTAAAGTGAAATTTTGATAAACCCTAAAAGCGCATTATAACTTTCGTCGAGGAGCCATACTGCTATTTATTAAACCGTTAGTGTATAAGTCTAATGTTTCAATTCAAAAAGTTATGCAATACACGTAACATATTAAAGAAACTTGACTTCCCATTATGCACCATGGTATTTCCCATTCAAAATGTAAAAAAAATGAATCAATAAATAAAAAAGTACGATCTATGTATGTGTTTAATTACCAGGCTCCACAAAGGAGGTTACGTTTATACCTCCGTTTGTACCGGTAATGTGTGTTACGTCAACAACCTAACTCAAAACGTTATAGATGGCATTTGATGAAAATTTCATAAAATGTCAGAAATGGGTTAACTTCTAAGTGATCCTTTAATTTATTAATTAAAAGTTAATTATCAGTCAATCGTATTCTTTTGTGGAGGTCTGCGCTCTCATGGAGCTTTTCTGGTTGTACCTGAATCTGTCAACTCTGCAGCTGCTATAGGACCCGCTAAGCTGACTAGCTTGGACGGATGACTCCACCTACAAAAGCAACAAAAGCCTGGACTATAGTCTGATCAAGTGTGTTTTCGTTCAATTAAAAGACATATGGTGATTGCAAACGTTGATGAGGTTGTTTTCATCGCTATTTTGGAGGGTGGGGGTCAGATGTAACTTATACTGTAAAAGTAAACTAATGATTAACTGTTTCTGTCCATTTACCATTTATTGTTAAATTTTTACTTAATTTGGTACTTAACTAGGCACAATTTTATAACTCAGACAATGCAGACTTCCAATGCAATCTAGTTAATAATAAGTAGAGAATTGACTGGGACGAAACTAGATGAAATCTCAGACAATCAACCATTTTCGAATAATTTCCAAAAATGTTGTTGGTAAAGCCCCCTTTACATTGGACGGCGTCCTTTCTGCGTCCTTTGTGCGGCCATGAAACTGGCATCGTTGTGGTCGTAGAAAAGAGGCACAAGCATTGGTTTGGTTTCAGAATGAATGCTCAATGACAGGCCAGTTGTCGGCAAGTAAAGAATTATTATTTTTTAATCTCAAACGGTGGGGGCCGTGCTACGGGACGCAGAGAGGACGCCGTTTAGTGTAAAGGGGGCTAAACCTACTTACCCCTTTACAAAACTCCGTCTCAAGTGCTATAAATCGTGCGGATGTCCTATCTGCCAGTGCAGTGGAATAATTTTGATTTGATATGGTCATCTGACCGGTAAGAGATATTGGTTGAACTGAAAGTATAATTTTAATATATAAAATGCATTAAAATAGTACCCTTGACGTCAAAACTAGAACATAATCAGGTTAAATACTTTCTTGAGCACACTTAACCTGAGAGAAACAAATCTGTACTTACGTAATTTATTTAAAATATTGTGGGTTGTCAAATGACCTTATCTAACTGGTCTATATGACTACTTTTGGGCAATTATCCAGTCTATTTTTCTCATTAAACGTTAACCAAGTATTAGCCAAAATCAGATTTCACATTGAAGGCAGCAATGTATGCTCATCATTTGTCGTTATGGCAAGCTGTCAGCTTTAATTGATCAATTTAGTGTGAGAGCACATGTGAAGTCACTAGGAACCACTAAAGCCACTTACCTGACCCTGTGTATGGCATTTCACTTCGCGCTGAAAATAGAATTTAAGATAAAAAAATACATAATTCGTGAAAAATTAAAAACATGAACAGTAATGGTACTTCAGTGTGTGCATCGTTATCATCCTTGTTGTGTTGTATTAATTTGAAATTATGTTATCCGGCATAGGTCCCTAAGGGATGATCCTTAAGGGAAATGATCATACTAGTTAATTTAGATTAGAATACATAAGTTGCATAAAACATCACAATATCAGCGTGGAACCCGCTAAAGAAGAAGACAAATTAATATACACCAGTAGATCTATGATAAGAAACGTGTGTGTGGGGTCGGAGTTAAACCCCCCCCCCCCCCCGAAAAAATAAGGCTAACATTTGCAGACGCGTCCCGAAATCCTACTCTTCATGCCAAGTGTCCGTATATAAGCTACTATGGATCAAGCTACTATGATCATGTCATAATGACACGATTACGTTTCCATGTGAAACACTAAAAACCACCGCAACCAAATAACAGCCCTTACTTGCGAAATAGACAGCGGCGGCCACGATACCGCCTATAACAAGCAGAGCTATCAATATGGGTATAACGGCAGAGGGTGAACAGCTCCTCNGTGAAATTTTGATAAACCCTAAAAGCGCATTATAACTTTCGTCGAAGAGCCATACTGCTATTTATTAAACTGTTAGTGTATAAGTCTAATGTTTCAATTCAAAAAGTTATGCAATACACGTAACATATTAAAGAAACTTAACTTCCCATTATGCACCATGGTATTTCCCATTCAAAATGTAAAAAAATGAATCAATAAATAAAAAAGTACGATCTATGTATGTGTTTAATTACCAGGCTCCACAAAGTAGGTTACGTTTATACCTCCGGTTGTACCCGTAATGTGTGTTACGTCAACAACCTAACTCAAAACGTTATAGATGGCATTTGATGAAAATTTCATAAAATGTCAGAAATGGGTTAACTTCTAAGTGATCTTTTAATTTATTAATTAAAAGTTAATTATCAGTTAATCGTATTCTTTTGTGAAGGTCTGCGCTCTCATGGAGCTTTTCTGGTTGTACCTGAATCTGTCAACTCTGCAGCTGCTATAGGACCCGCTAAGCTGACTAGCTTGGACGGATGACTCCACCTACAAAAGCAACAAAAGCCTGGACTTAGTCTGATCAAGTGTGTTTTCGTTCAATTAAAAGACATATGGTGATTGCAAACGTTGTTTTCATCGCTATTTTGGAGGGTGGGGTCAGATGTAACTTATACTGTAAAAGTAAACTAATGATTAACTGTTTCTGTCCATTTACCATTTATTGTTAAATTTTTACTTAATTTGGTACTTAACTAGGCACAATTTTATAACTCAGACAATGCAGACTTCCAATGCAATCTAGTTAATAATAAGTAGAGAATTGACTGGGACGAAACTAGATGAAATCTCAGACAATCAACCATTTTCGAATAATTTCCAAAAATGTTGTTGGTAAAGCCCCCTTTACATTGGAAGGCGTCCTTTCTGCGTCCTTTGTGCGGCCATGAAACTGGCATCGTTGTGGTCGTAGAAAAGAGGCACAAGCATTGGTTTGGTTTCAGAATGAATGCTCAATGACAGGCCAGTTGTCGGCAAGTAAAGAATTATTATTTTTTAATCTCAAACGGGGCCGTGCTACGGGACGCAGAGAGGACGCCGTTTAGTGTAAAGGGGGCTTAACCTACTTACCCCTTTACAAAACTCCGTCTCAAGTGCTATAAATCGTGCGGATGTCCTATCTACCAGTGCAGTGGAATAATTTTGATTTGATATGGTCATCTGACCGGTAAGAGATATTGGTTGAACTGAAAGTATAATTTTAATATATAAAATGCATTAAAATAGTACCCTTGACGTCAAAACTAGAACATAATCAGGTTAAATACTTTCTTGAGCACACTTAACCTGAGAGAAACAAATCTGTACTTACGTAATTTATTTAAAACATTGTGGGTTGTCAGATGACTTTATCTAACTGGTCTATATGACTACTTTTGGGCAATTATCCAGTCTATTTTTCTCATTAAACGTTAACCAAGTATTAGCCAAAATCAGATTTCACATTGAAGGCAGCAATGTATGCTCATCATTTGTCGTTATGGCAAGTTGTCAGCATTAATTGTTCAATTTAGTGTGAGAGCACATGTGAAGTCACTAGGAACCACTAAAGCCACTTACCTGACCCTGTGTATGGCATTTCACTTCGCGCTGAAAATAGAATTTAAGATAAAAATTCCATAATTCGTGAAAAATTAAAAACATGAACAGTAATGGTACTTCAGTGTGTGCATCGTTATCATCCTTTTTGTGTTGTATTAATTTGAAATTATGTTATCCGGCAGAGGTCCCTAAGGGATGATCCTTAAGGGAAATGATCATACTAGTTAATTTAGATTAGAATACATAAGTTGCATAAAACATTACAATATCAGCGTGGAACCCGCTAAAGAAGAAGACAAATTAGATCTATGATAAGAAACGTGTGTGTGGGGTCGTAGTTAACCCCCCCCCCCCCGAAAAAATAAGGCTTACATTTGCAGACGCGTCCCGAAATCCTACTCTTCATGCCAAGTGTCCGTATATAAGCTACTATGGATCAAGCTACTATGATCATGTCATAATGACACGATTACGTTTCCATGTGAAACACTAAAAACCACCGCAACCAAATAACAGCCCTTACTTGCGAAATAGACAGCGGCGGCCACGATACCGCCTATAACAAGCAGAGCTATCAATATGGGTATAACGGCAGAGGGTGAACAGCTCCTCGTGTCTTTCTTTTTCTTCTGTCCGAACACCTCCTGGTAGCTGTCAGAGCCGGAGGATGTGGAGAGAGGGGAGCTCTTGCCTTGTTCCGCGAAGTACCCATCTTTCACGGCATAGTATGCGAGGACCGGCTGATGACGGTATTCTCCCTGTGGCCCCCTTGCTGTGGGCACCGTGTACCCCCATTCGTCGTACCGCGGGCCTGTAAAGGCGGCGTTGTCTGTCGAGCTGCCCTGACATTCACCAAAAATAAAAATAAATAAATAAATACTGTTGATTTTTTTTTTGTTTACTGTGAATCCGGTATTAATTAGCATCCTCCCCCATTAATGCACCCTCTCAAATGTGCATTTATTTATTTATTTATTTTATGGTTATTTATATATTTATGTAGGCCTATTTATTTTTGTTCGGCTGCCACTGGACTGATAAAAGAGAATATAAGGAAGCTCGCGTTATTAACAAACAGTAAGTTAGCTCGTTTTAGCAGGAAATTCTGATTACGAATAGCTACACAAATATACCAATGACATTCCTTACCTCGTCAACCTCATAAGGCGCTCTTCTTGATCTCTGGTCACGTGGCATTTTGTTTCTATGGAAACTGGGAAAGTATTACCAGTAAGTGTGAAATGTTGCGAATTTTCCTGACCGACCGTTAGACGTCAAAAAACAGCCATGTTGTATATTTCTCTGTTTTTGAATTAGTATGTCCTCGTCTTAAAAAGGGTTACCTGAAAAGAAATTACAAACGTGAGCTCATTAAGTCAATAAGTAAGACACGAACAGAGCTTTTTTATAAAGCTGACTTAGCTTCCCAGACTCGTTGCAAAACGACCTTTACCAAGATCAAATAAATTTTTTCCTTGTTCATCTGGATTTTCTGTGCATATTTTGTACTCTCTAGCAAAATAGATGAAAAATAAATACATGAAAAATAAGTTAGTAAGTCGGCTTATCATTACTATGTATGGCCATTATAAATGTCGTAGATCGAGTCTCGAAAGAAGTACCAAATTGGTGCATTAAATACCACCCTCATCACACACACGCACACACACACACACACACTTGTAAGAAAAATGCAAAACATATTTGGCAGAGCCCAAGTGGCTCTAACTACTCAACTGCCAGTACACATGCTGGTAATGGCTGAAGCACAGTCCCTTTTATATATTGGAATTAAGGCTAAGCAGAGATATTTGGCAAGAGTTATCATATGTACTAGTAGCCTGTAACACAAATGTTAAAAAGCAGTGTGATTTCATATAGTATTTTAAGGGGTCCTGATATTAGAGGGTACACCACCAACTACACCACCACCAGAGTGCACTTCCACCCAAATGCCACGGTGACACCGTGCGCCAATATCATATGGTCCCCCATTGTGGCTATTATTTGTAAGCTTAGAACTCGCGTACTGTCTACATTCCGAAAGAGATATCTGATCTCTGAGGTGAACTGGAGATCTTCCACACAACAAGCGGTAGCACTATTGTTCAACAACACTACAGTGATAGGGGGCTATTGTGAGAAAGCACGTGATGGTTTTGCGTTATTTGCTGAGCGTGCTGTGGACACCACTTCGTATCTTCGTCTGACCAAGCCTGTGTTTTCTTGGTCTGACCTTCACATAGACGGTAGTAAACATGTAGGGTAAGGGTTAGGATTAGGATTTTTGACCGCCTGTCTTTTCATATTTTAGAATATGTCCAGTAAGACTGTAAAAAATATGATACACTGTGTCAGTCTAGAAAAAGGGTGGAACAGTTCGCGAGATTTTCTGTCTGGATCAGCAGCTTTCCCCTTTCTTTTTTTTTCTTTTTTTTTTCATTTATAGTCGGACCAAAGCTGATAGGGGGTAATTAACTAGCGCTTAGCAACTTCAGTAGGTGTGTCAGACATCTAAGCCGCTTAAGCTGAAAGCAATTTAGCGAGAAACCCTTCGGAGATCGATCTAGGTATGGGAATGGGGTGTAAGTACACTAAATGAGATAACTAGAAAAGCACTCCGAGAGTGCAGACCTCCGCCAATTTTTTTATTATTATTATTATTATTATTGATTATTAATTGATTTTTGATCCAGATTACCACCAAAAAATTTCATCAAAATCGGTCCATAACTTTTTGAGTTATGTTGATGACAGACAGACAGACAAACAAACAAACAAACAGGGGTGAAAACAACCTCCTTGGCGCAGGTAACAATGGGTTACCGTCGTTCCTAAGATAGCAGTCGGGTGTAACGCCGACGACCAGTGCCTGATCCACAGAATGAATCACACACACAGTAGTAACAAACTTCTAGGAAGAAATTGAGAAATAAACAAACCTGTCTATATCGAGTGGTGAAGGGGGGGGGGCTCTCTCTATCACGGTGGCAGATGATATAGGGAGAAATGGAAAAAGCCAAGTGACTTTCTATTTATCTAGAGACATATCCATGAATATCTGTGAAAAATCAATCTGTCGCCTTGGTAGAGGGTAGGGGGATCGATGTTCCAAAAGCGTGTGCATTTTATTTCTGAAAATGCAGTACGGGGGGGGGGGCAATCCGCCTTGATGAGCTTCCAGTAATTTCTAAAACTAAAACTCTTATCCGTCCAGTTGCACAATATGTTTGACAGCACTTCTACTAATTAAACAAACACCCACTTAACCCACGTTAACGACTGCCCAAATATACTAATTATAAGTACTAACACCAGAGGATAGGCCGGCGGGATTAAGCCGGGTACATCCTTGAAGTACTCAAATAAGGGAAAAATATGCCCAAACAGACCAAAAATTAGGTAGCATAAATGTTACCCTTTTGATAGATAAAATGCATAAATTGACGCTCAAAGGTATGCATTTCATTCAATGCTTGGTAAGTTCCTGGCAGTATATCGTATTCGTGACAAGTTGGGGGGGGGGGGGGGTTATAATTAGTGATGTGAAAACCTTGAACGTAGTAATTGTTGTAGTTTTGTTAAAGCTGATTTTCAAAACCACAAATACAAGACAAATGGCTATTTAAAATCTTGTAAGTAAAAAACTAAGACAGTATTTGTACCTCAGCGTAATTAAAAGCCCCTCACCCCAGTCTTCACATTAAGACTAGTGCCTTAGGATCTTTTACAGAGTTGACAACGTTGCAGTATTCCAATATACTTGAATAAAAATCGACGAGTATTTTCTTATGTCTTTTCAGCAAACCAGATGACACGTACGCAATAAGAATACACAAAAAAATGCGCCGAACTGCCTTCCAGACCACATTTTGGGACACTCTTATAGACCACCTTTGGTAAAAAAAAATCAACCTAATTACGATTTGGAATCCCTATTAGCAGCAATACTTCGTGTTAATTTGATATCCTCAGCATAAACCTGACGAACTAACACTGGTATGAGAGTCTACAGAAATAGACCATCCGCAATAGAGGTCTACATTCCCAAGTTAAGTGTATAACGTCCCAATTCTCTCCGTCTTATTGTTTGTGGACAGGTATAACAACTTAAGTAGCAGCGTCCACTGAACGCTTAACAATCTGATGATGACCACGTCTTTGAGAAGTTATGCAATAGGCAACAACAGAATCCCCACAGACGCTTGATTCTATTATTGATCACACCTTTAAGCCAGACGCCACCCTTGGCTTACCTTAAACCTGGCTGCTGTAAGGTTATAAATGTACATGTATATATGTGACCCACAAGCATGCCTGTATAAATATACGAAATTTCCTTAGGCACACTTGTATAATAATTTGTAAGTTTATTTTAGATTTTTTAATGAAACGCCGTGTGGTACACGTACTTTATGATATGAGCACTGTTCTCGTACATGTACAAAATTTATATACCAAAAGAAAAACTATATATAGTACATCTGTCTCTTTTGCTTATGAGAATTATCAGCTTACCACCCTTGGCTTACCTTAAACCTGGCTGCTGTAAGGTTATCAATGTACGTGGATATATGTGTGCCTCTAAATACGAACATTTCCTAGGGGACATTGTAGAATTATAAGTGTTTTTTTTTAAAGATTTTAATGTCGTGTGGTACACGTACTTTATGATTTAATTACTGCTGACGTACATGTGCAAAATTTATGTACCCAAAAATATAGTGTACCTGTCTCATTTGTTTATGAGAATAATCAGCTGCTGCCCCGTATAGAGGGGAGTTCGTGGGGGAGGGCACCCTAGATTACTACTTGATGTACCGGTAGACTCTGTGTGAAAGCTGAAGTCGGACTAGTCGATTCGGGTTAAATGAGGTCGTAAAAAAGTCCACTAAAAATTTATCCCTCTCACCCCACCCCCCTTTGGAATTACTGGATACAGGTTGGACCTGTATACACTTTCAAACTAGAAGCACAGATGTATTAGTCCGCTAATTACAAATGTCGCTATTCTACATAAACTAAGGGTAACAAGGCCACTGCCACTAAATAACTGTACGATACCAGTAGTTTGGCTTTGTTTGCAAATTCTACCTGAACCTGTAATTAAAACACTTTCACAAAGCAGTGTCCGAGGTTAAAATGAACAGGCGCTTTCCATTGCCTTAAAAAGCTAATTATTTTGATGGCTTCGTCTTCTGGAGATATCTATCTATAGTCACCTTACGCTGTCACCTTTAATTTCTGCAGGTATTAGTGCATTGTAAGTCTCATATTGGTGGGAAACGATCAGACAATTACACCATCACTTACTTGGTCACATGATTTTTATTTATTTATTTATTTATTTATTTATTTATTTATTTATTTATTTATTTATTTTTTGTCGTTTAATTCTGAACAGCACTAGCACTTCTGTAATATTTTACCTTACGAATTTATAATAAAAGAACTACTTTGTCACCACATTTTAATCAATGTGATCATATCAGTATATGAAGTTAATATGCAGTTACTTTACATGTATGCACCATTGATTCTATTTTTCTTCAAATAACAGTATGAAATTAATATACTGTGTATTAATGTATAATTTAACCAAAAACTGTCGGATTAAGTTATCCCGTAATCTTTGTAGCAAAAGTTCTGGCTCTATATTACACGTGTATCATGCATGCAGCAACCAATGCACTGGTGAGCCCAATAATAAAAAAGGTCGATATACGGAGAAAGGACAACACCCAAAGAATGTACATTGTTCAGTACCTTGGTATACTATTGTTGAATTGTGATTGCGAAATCTACATGTCCTGATACTTCGAAGAACCCGTAATTTAATTTAATTTTGGAATTTAATGGGATTTCCAGGTAAAATTGTTTGCCTGTCTCTAATGTGTTTAACAACCGTAGCCTGTGTCCTGTCCGCCCCTAATTTTAGACGTGTAATATATTGCTTGTTAAATGGAGAAGTGCCAATAATCGGTCGATACTACTGTAGTATTATGATAGCGACAGCACAATACAGGTGAGGAGCTGGTCTGTAATTAATGCACACCTTGCTAACTCCCTGAAAATAGCTCCTACTCAAAATTAAAAGGTTCATGGTCTCTCCGTGTCGGATATGAAGAACGGGAAAGATAAAATACACTGGACAGTATGCATGATAGCCTACGGAACACCCACATCCCCCCTACCCCGCTTACACTTCTATCTGACTGAAACTGCTATCAATTGTGTTTGGCTGGTTCATTACGATGTTTAGCAAGTCCAGTCTAAAGTAGCTAACAAAAACTTAAGCAATGGCTTATTCATCGTGCTCAGTTTTTTTGAAACAGCGAGCAATTGCGTTAAGGCAGAGGATTGCATTCAAGCGGCTCTGTAGCTATGTGACTGCTGTGCGTTCCTCTGTTATACCTGCGTCAAGACAACGCTGATACATGTATTGTCTCTTCACCGAAATCAACGTTAGCGTTAAATACAGCAATTACACCAATTAAGCAATTAAGTTAACACGTTTTTAACACCTACCTGTCCAGTTGAGAGTAAGAGGGTCGGGGTGTCCGGTCGTAGTCAT